GCTGTGGTCTGGTTGGGTTTACACTGCCCCTGCAGGTACACCTGAAGGGGAGGGGAGGTGAGGGGCCCCCAATCGAACCCTATCAACGCGTGGCTGGGGCCCCTAGCTCAAATGCCTCTGCATGCAGGGGCCCCCCAGCATAGAATAAGATCAGATAACCTGAGTGCAAGGGGCCCCCCTAATCTCCTTGGGGGCCCCCCACCTTGTCATGCATGCGCCCCCTATTACGAGAGACTGCTTTGCTACATCAGGGGCCTCTACATGGGCCCCTGGGGGCCCCCCGGGGCCCCCATCTGCATGCATTGGGGGGCCCCTGGGGGCCCCCATCCGCATGCATTGGGGGACCCCTGGGGGCCCCCATCTGCTTGCATTGGGGGGCCCCTGGGGGCCCCCATCTGGTTGCATGGGGGGGCCCCCAAGGGGCCCCCCAATGCATGCATGCAAATGAAGATGGNGGGGCCCCCATCTGGTTGCATGGGGGGGCCCCCAAGGGGCCCCCCAATGCATGCATGCAAATGAAGATGGAAATAAGGGTAAAAGAAGAAGAGACGCTGCGGTGTTTATTTGTGTTTTGTTTGTGTGTCTGTCTCCTGCGAGGAGACAGTTATATACGAGTGTTTTTTACTGTCTCCTCAGCCCCACGGGCCCCACAAAGACAACGAGGGGATCTGTCTCCTTTTGTATTTATTTATTTATTTATTTATTTATTTATCTATCTCCTCTGCTGCTGTTGTCAGTGGGGGGCCCCCAGCCTTGTGCTTTCTCCCCCCCGTACCTACCCCCTCCTGCTGCTACAGAGAGGGGGGCCCCCGGGGGCCCCCCTCTCTCCTCTTGCTGCTGTTTGGGTTTACTTGGGGGCCCCTCTGTCTCCTGCTGCTGCATTTTATTAGGGGGCCCCCCATGGTGGTATTTGGGGCCCCCCCATGGTGCTGCTGCGGTTTCGTTGATGCTCTGTCTGCTGCATCTACTGCAGTTTACTTTGTGTTCCCCCTTGCTGCTGCTGCAGTTGCTGCTGCTGTTGCTGCTGCTGCTGCTGCTGCTGTTGCTGCTGCTGTTGCTGCTGATGGTGTAGGCGTGGTTGGTGGTGATGATGATGGTGGTGATGTTGTCTATATGGCAGTTGTATTTTATATTTTTTGGGGCTGTTCTTTGCATGCGCAGCTGCATGCGTGGTGTTTGGGGCTGCATGCGCATCTGTTGCATGCGTTGCATGCGTGGTGTTTGGGGCTGCATGCGCATGCGCTGGCGGGGCTGCAAAGAGCTGCGGGAACGCAGCAACTGCTTCGCGTATTGTGGGCCTCACCTTGGGGTCTGGGTGGAGGAGACAGCTGATGAGGAGGGCCCAGGCATCCTCGACCCCGGCGTCTCTCAATTCTAAATAAGGAGAAGTATATATCTCCCCCAAAGATATATCTCCTTTACTCCTTCTTCTTGGTGTAGGCACCCCAGCCCCTGTCTCTCCTGCTGCTNCCCCAAAGATATATCTCCTTTACTCCTTCTTCTTGGTGTAGGCACCCCAGCCCCTGTCTCTCCTGCTGCTCCTGCTGCTCCTGCTGCTCCTGCTCCTGCTGCTGCTGGTGGTGCAGCACCAGCAGCAGCAGCAGCAGCAGGAGTGGTAGTTGTAGCAGTGGTAGCAGCGGCAGTACTACTACTAGTACTACTGCTAGTGCTGCTACTACTACTAGCAGCAGCAGCAGCAGCAGCAGCAGCAGCAGCAGCAGCAAGTCCAGCAGCAGACCCAGCAGGGGGACTTGTTCTTAATCCCCCTCTTATAGATGAAGGTGTATATACACCTGAAGCTTGTATGAGGGCCCTAGAGAAGTGTGTTTGTTGTTCTTTTGTATAAGGCCTTTTGCCTGTGAGTAGGGTATAGAATAGAGTCCCCAACTGCCACGTATCTGTCTCCTCTGTGTTTGTTGCTGCGTCTCCTTTTTGTATCTCTGCTAGCTGCTCAGGAGACAACACAAACATGTTGGGGGGATCTGTCTCCTCCCCTGCTGGGCCTGATGCTTTAAACTCGGATAGATAAGGTACACCAGAAAAGGAGACAGCTATGCTATCTACATCTATATTATTATGTAATTTTCCTGCATGATGAAGAGCACCAAGAGAAAGGAGACACCTCTTATATATATATAACTGTAACGGAAGGGGAAAGGGTTTACCTGTCTCCTCTCTTTTTTGTATTATATCTCTGAGCCCCGCCCCCTTAAGAGAAGAAAACCAAACCCTTCTATCAAAGAAAGCTGTCTCCGTTCCTCCTATGTCTCCTTCATATACTGTCCCCAAACCCAATCTACCCCCATACAAAGGCAGCAACACCGCTGTCCTCTCTGCTGTCTCCTCAACTCTCTCCCCCTGCTGCTGCAGCGCAGCAAGCAGTCCCCCTTCTAGGGACCCACGACGAGGCCTATCCTCTATAGAGTCATCTCGCCCCAACTCAAAAGATAAATTAAACATATCACCACCAGCTGTCTCCCCAGCTGTCTCCCCAGCTGTCTCCCCAGCTGTCTCCGCAGCTGCTGTCTCCTTTTTCTCTGTCTCCTTTTCTGTCTCCTTTTTCTCTGTCTCCTTTTTTTCTGTCTCTTTTTCTGTCTCCTTTTCTTCTTCTATCTCCTCAGGTGTCTCCTCAATTATATCGCTTCTGTCTGTATCCCTTTTACCTATCTCCTTATATCTTTCCTTTTCTTTTTCTGTCTCCTTTTCTGTCTCTCTATCATCTGCTGCTGC